ATCCTGGGTAAACTCAAGAAGAGAGACTAAAGTTTAGTGCGAGCAAGGTGGTGGGGAGGCAGGGACTGGTTTTGTGGGAAAGATGACCTTTTGTGCTCAAGGAAAGAGGCTAATCATGTAAGAAACAGGTCTGGACTAGGCTTAAAACCGTTTCCAGGGAATTTGTGGAGAAAAGCAGTCCGCTTGCTTGAGTAGCGAATGGAAGTCGGGGTGGGATGGGAAGGCGGGAACAAAAGTGGGATCACTTGGAAGAGAGAGAGAGAGAAATAAAACACTGGAAGAGAAAGAATAACCATGATGTTTTCCTTCTAAGCAAGCACAGGAAGCATGTTCAGTAGTGATATATGGTGCCTCAGAGAAATTCAGGACAATTAGAATCAAAAAGAAGGTGAGTAGCTGTGGAGACCGAGAGGCTGAGGTGGAATAGCAGAGAAGCTAGCTTCATGTGTTTGGAAGCGAAAGTGTGGTCGGATGAAAGGAAAGAGTATGAATTACAGAAATATGTTCAGATTTAGTCTCTGGGGTAGGAGGAGATAAGGAAAGTTGTACAGTGGACTCTTAGAAGAGACAAGTCCAACATTGGGGACCCAAAATCAAACTCACAGCCCTTGAGTTGACGCCTACCCATAGCGACCCTTGGGGACAGGGTGGAGCTGCCCCTGTAGGTTTCGGAGACTGTCACTCTTTATGGGAGTAGAGAGCCTGGTCATTCCCCCTTCATGTGGCTGGTGGTTTTGAACCGCTTTCCTCCCAGAGTGTAGCCAATCTGTAACCACTACGCCAACAGAGCTGCTCTACAACAAAGGGTCTACTTGTATCCAAAGTTCATGAAACATCGTCCACAAGAATGTCCAATGATACAATGGGATTGAATCTCTTAATTACCTTGTGTGAAGCCCGTGAAGGTCAAATATCCACTGGTAGCAAAAAGCACACTGATCACTACAGAAACCAAGACGGACACATGGATGATACGAGACCACTTAGCTACGGTGGGTTCTTCCAAAGAGCCGTAAACTAAGAAGCAATTATGGTGGCAAATAAATGCTACAATACAAAATAAAAAAAAGGAAGGAAGGAAAGAAAAACAGCATTATTAAAGCAAGCAGCAGGGTTTTCTTTTTCAGTTCTGAAATTTTCTCAGGGAGGTGCATTATGTCGGCATGCCAAATCTACTAAAGAGGTTAGAAAAATTTTCTAACAGCTCTAAAATGAAAGAATTTATTCCCGTCAGATTTATGTGGCCCAGGCCTGTCTCCTAGATGTGAACCAGGCCTATTCAGCTCGCTCCTTTTCCTTTTCTGAGTGGCCCTTCCCGTCTTAAGGGACAGCTCAGCGACACCATCTTTGCAGCCAAGAGCTTCTATGCATTCTTGGATGTAACCGAGTGGTAGCTTTCGACATCTGGCCAATTAGTAACACTTTCTGTGCTAGGTTTTGAAGAACTCCCTAACACTTGCTAGACTTCCAAGTGAAGGAACAAGACGTCTGTAATGAGTTTTCTGTGCAAGAAGGAGGGTTGTCCAAACTGGAAGCAATTTTAGTGATGAGTGAGAAAAACTTGAGCTTGATTTTATGTTGGCACTGACTAGATCATCTGCTACCAATAGGAAGTCTAAAACGAGGACATCTGCTAGTCAGACACAAACACAGCACTCTTTCAGGTTACGCACGTCTTCGTGTTGAACAAGGGGCCTTTGAAATCACATACTTACCAAAGGACATAACACCAACAGCCTGAATAGCATTCGACTTTGCAAATACCCAGGCATCTTCTGTTTTCGGTCTAGAAGAAAAATCGGTTAATTTGGTGAATAATTAAAAAGATGCAAACACAAGTACAGCAGAGAACATAACAACTAAACAAGGGCACACATTTAAATTGAGTATCTTTTAAATGATATTTAATCGAAATGAGGATCCCTCATTAATTTGATTTAATTTATACAAGTTTCCTAAGAATATCAGTATTATCTCTTTACCCTTATCCTTTAAAATGCATGTCAAAGGCCCTGTTTGTACATATGTACAGTGCTTACTGACTCTTTTTATAAGTGTGTTTATTTACTCATCAAGTTAACAATAAATATTTGTTATGCACTTACCAGTTGGGATACTCATATTCTTTCCAAATAAACCACCCTCTGTTCCCCTCTAACTCATTTATTCCTCTCTAACTCCACCTTCCAGAGTCCCCTTATGTCAGAGAAATTCATAGCCAGCACTTGGGCACTACAGTCACTAAGTCTTAGCACGTGAGCAAAGACAAGCTCTAGAGCAGCAGTTCTTAACCTGTGGGTCGCGACCCCTTTGGGGGTCGAACGACCCTTTCACAG